CGTTTGCATGTGGGGGGAGAAACTAAATGTACAAACACAACTATTTTGTCTGACAATTTCCCCCCCCCTCAGAACTGAGAGAGTAAATTCCAGTATTTTTCCAGGTTTCTAAGTTACACAGGAGGTTTCCAGGAACATGGAGCACTAGTAGATGTGATAGGTCTCCCATGACAAAAATAATAAGTATTCAATTTATTCATCACAGCTCCGGATGGGAATCCAGTGATGGATAGGTCATGCTGACCCTGCGTGTCAAATAGATTTGATTTCAGATGAATCAGAAGAAAGAAACCTAGTTACAGGAAGGCCATATTTCACTATTCATTGTTCTTCCAGAGATTTCTGTAATTCTTTTCTTGCCTTATTCTGCTTTTCTGTCTAGAATGCTGCAGAAACGGCAGCAAGGGTATGGTTTCTGTGGGGTGGCTTCCAAGCACTTGCACAACATGCACCACAGCATTAGTCTGAGGGGTCTGGGCTGAGCTTAGGTGCCTTCACTGTGACAGGTCGTCTGTCAAATACAGACTTGGACAGACAAAGTGACTTTAACTTCACCAGTCCAGTTACTGGCTCTTCTGGGGTCATCGTGGCTGTATTATTTATCTGGAGCTCCTTTAACTCGTCAAAATCCTTTATCGCTCAGAAAATATTTCAGAGTAAGTGAAGTGCTGGCTGGGGTAGAAGCAGGTGTCTGACAAAGGCAACAAATTCCGGATGCTCTTGTGTTGTGGGGACATCTGATGCCTCCCTCAGCTTCACAGGGCTTTCAGTGACTGTCTTGTACCCTTTTTTCTTTCTTAGTTGAGGTTATGCTCAAGTTCTAAATCAGCTCGCTCTTTTTCCACCATTAAGTGTTAACTCCTAGGTTGTTTGCCTTTAGCCCATCAGCTTCTGAGAGTTTTGAGCTCCTCCGCTATTAGTTTGGAGCAACTCTGCAATTAGATAACCATCAGCCTCTTAACAAATTTGTCCCATCCACTTCTCTTTGAAAGTCATTCTATATCTCAAGCTCTCGTTTGCCTTGTATTAACCCGTAACAGCTTCCAGCCTTTGTCTCTACACCCAGTACAGTCATCTCACCGTGTAACCTAGAACCTCCTCCACAGGCTATTAGCAAAAAGCTGTCAGATGTGTAGGGCCTGTCCAACAACAGCTTCCTGCGTGGAGAAGCAAGCACCCTTGAGCTGCTTCTCTAGACTCCAGCTCAACCCGTTCTCTTTTTATTGGTCCAGGCTTTTTGCCCAGGCATTGCTACTCAGCCAGTTTGCTCTGAACTTGCTTGATTTGCTAGAGGCATCTACATGCCTTCTAGCTTGATGCTGTTGGTCATTCACCTCTACAGCAGGGCTGGAGTTGGTCTTTGCTCCTTCCCTTCTCACTGCTGCACTGATATTTGCATCCAGTGATTAAGTTTTTGGTGCAAAAGATGTGGTTTGGTTTTTGTCTTCTATCAGTAGCTTATTAGTAGGGATGCAAAGGTAAATGTTTGTCTTAGGAAGAAAATCCAGGTCTTATTAAGCTGATTATAAAGAATATTGTTCCTCAGCTCTACGTGCAAGCGGAACACTTGGCAGGCCTTCTTGAGCTATAGTTTTAAATCCGTGACGCAGTGCTTGGAGAGCTGTGCTGTGTCACCACCTTCTGCTGGAGGGTTCCTTGGTGAGGTCAGTCTGGTGGTTTGAAGCAAACTGCTCATGGATGTGTCTGCCCGTGAGATGTTCCTCATATTGATGGTATCCAACGTGAAACAGTGACTAAAGAAGAGTAAGTGCTGCTTCTAATGCACGCCCCAAGCTTCCTCTTGTTCCCTCAGCCTTCTGACCTTCTGCAGAGGTGATTTTGCTGGTTGGGTAGCAAATGCTGAATCACAGCAGTTCAGTCTGGCATATTTGATGTATTTCTAAAACATATTGAAATTGCAGTGGTTCACAAATAGAAAAGCCCGTGTAAGAAGAGACAGATGAACAACTTTTACCCCTGGCATTCTTGGGAGGGACAGCAGTCCACAGATGTGTAGTATCTCGCAGAAAGTCTGAAGATGGAGAGCTGGGTATGCTTTTAAAATTAATTCCTTAATTTATCCTAACTCATGATGTCTGTTACAGTGGTACAGAGGGATAATATTTCTACTGATACTTTATATGCAGGTTGGGTGATATATCCCTTTGGTCATCTACAGATCTAACAACCAAAATCAGAGACCACCAAGATCTGTGTTTCAAAGAGATGCAAAGACACGAACAAAGATAAAGAGTTGAAGAGGATGCCTGGCTGATGGTTAGCTAGTAAGAAGCTGAATGCTGCTAATAGAGTTCACTGAACAGTCATGTATTTTTAATAGCTTGATTATACTCGGTAAAAAACCATGCCCTCATGTCTTATAGCTGTGATGGCACTGTCCAGAAGTTGGCAGGCAGGAGAACTTGTAATATGTCCGTTAACTGGGCTTTTTTTGCATGTGAAACATACCCTCTAAAGGGGGAATGTGCTGTATTGGCAGTACTATTGCTGTGAAAGTCCTTTCTTAGCAGTGCTGAAACTGCTGGGAGCTTGCTAGATTCATGAATTTATGAATGAAAGCTCCAGTTATCTTCAAAGATGAGATTTCAGTTTTGGCCTTTTAAGGCATCTGGCTGTGGAACCAGAGCTTGAACCGGTAGATCCTAGTTGCCGCGGGCAGTTGTGTAATGATCAGTATTTGTCTGGGTTTGCAATACCTGGATGCACGCTGGGTGCTGAGGGTTGTGCTGAGCAGGGGGGGCCCCCGGGGTGCTGCGTGAACTGTGGCTTGCAGGCTGGAGGTTCAGCGTGAAGAGTGCGTAAAGGGAGATGGGAGGCATCCCAAAGCCTCCTGAGTTTGGCATTGGGGTTAAAAGAGATCGACCCTGTTCTGTGATTCTGAACTAGAGGTCAAAAATTGGTAGCCCCTACTGTGCAGTGGATTTTGTGCTGTATTCAGGAGGGTGATTACAACTGTCAGCATTGTAATCTTTTTTTCTAGATGTTGATTTCCTGTGCAAATGAAGACTACTGAAAAAAAAAACCAAAAAAACAACAAACCCCAAACCAAAGCCAAAACCCAAACATAAACTGCTTCCAGTTCTTCACTACCTTCATCTTCACTACCTTGGCTGCATCGATCTTACTGCAGGACTGGGGTCTGAGTGCCGCACTGCACAGCGGAGCATTGCTATTAGTAATGTCAGTAGTTAGTAATGCCCAAATATATGTATTCTACATTGCTTAGGGTATTGTTTTGCTCGGTTTATCCTGCATTAGGATTCCATGCAGTTTCTGTAATGAGGAAATTGTTGTACATGCGTTCATCTTAATTGAAATGCTTTTTGATTTATTTTTTTTAATACCCATAGCCTGTTTTTCACTAGAGGATTGACCTCTGTAGGCTCTCATAGCCGTAGAACTAACAATAAATGTTTAACCTGTGGATCATGAAATAGTTACATTTGAAAGAATAGCATAGCTTACAAGGGAGTAAAATGCAGAAAAACGCTGCTTCTAAGTTTTCTGTTCAATGTTTAACAGTATACATTTAATCTTGGTGTGTGTCACATGCCACAACAACTCGTGTGTTAGAGAAAATGCATTTTCAAGGAAATGCTTCCCATGCATAATATGTGGCTTTTTGTGGAGAAACAAGAACAGATGGATGCTGTCCAGATCATTTCACCTTCTTTCTACAAAACCATTTAAAAGAGCTGGAGTGGGAAGGGAAGGTCACTGTGGAAGTGCGGAGCTTTGCAGCTTGTTTGCAAGGGAGGAGACTGGCAAAGGGTTTCTTTCATTCTTTTTTTTCCTCAGGTTTTTATCAGCCTTTTGGTGAGAATACCTGAGTATCTCCAGGGTCTTTATCTCACCCACCTTCCTAGCACCTCCCTGGGATGGGGGAGTGTTACACGGCCCATCTTCCAAGTCCCTGGGAAGATACTTTGAGATTGTTTTAGGCTGTGGTAAGCTGGAAGCTGAACTCTGGCATCCTAAAGCTCGGACTTATAAATCACTGGCTTTTCCCTTACCCAAGACTTCCTTAAACCCTCATTTATCATCTTCAGGAAGGAGTTAGCTTTTCTGAGGCTAGGAACTGAAGAGAGAGACAAACGTCATTGAGTCTGACTAGAAACATTGTTTTATTATTTGTCTCAGGTCTTGATTTGCAAGTGTAGTAAGGAAATATTTACATCAAATACAGAGCTGAAAAAACAGAACTCATTGTAGTCAATCAACATGTCCCTGGCCAGTTTGCTAAAAGTCCTGCTTAACCAAAGCAAGTGAGAAAGCCTTTTTTATTATTTATTTATTGTCTTCTTTTTTTCTTTTTACCACCCAACCATTTCTTCCAGAAAGAAAAAAAATTCCACCTTCCTTGCTCAGGCAAAACTCCTGCTAAAATCTTTGGAAGTGTGGCTAGCAGAACAAGGATAGCAAGAGGGAAACAGTAAACCTTAGCCTCCAGAACTGTAAAAAGCTAAAAAGTAAGGCCCTTTAATCCATATTTACCTTCTCAGTTGAGCCTTGTGTTACATTAGATGAAACAGTAAAACTCCTGGAGACACGTGACGCCACAGAAAGAGGGTGTGCTAAGTGAGGGTATTTATTTCTAGGTCGTTTTGTAGCAAATTCAAATTTTGGCTGCATTTTTAGAAAGAGATACCACCCACCATTAAGCAAAGGTCCAGCTAATATCCTTATTTCTCATCAGCTTATCACTGATACATCTGGATTGACCTGAACTGCAGAGCTCCGTCACTGGGAGCAGAGATGATGTCTGGCCTTGGGAATTCATTTGATAAACCTCAGGTTTTGGAAGGAGCTGTGCTTTAGCGTGCAGTTCACAGAAAAAGTGCCTGCTTGCTGTCCATCTCTCTCTGCTCCATCTTTTCAAATTTGTCAGGGTAGATTGCATGAGAAGTAGTAGCCTTGTAGATAGTGCGGGTCATGGGCTTGTGTGGTGACAGCTCTCAGAAGCCGAAAGGTGCCGATGCTTATACGTGTCGGCTCGGCATGCCGGGTTTCACATTGGGCTTCCCATTCACGGGTCTGGAGAGAGAAAAGGTTTTGATTTACTTTGATGTGAAAGGAACAAGAAGACAATTAATGTATGGCTGCTGATGGGCTCGTTTAGCCTTGGTCTGTAGCCAGGGATCTCTGAGAGCAGGCTGCAAAGTGTTGCTAAATCCTCTTTGTGCTAGTGAAGGCTCTGCCAACATTTCAACTAGTGATGGCCAGTAGAAGGACTTTCTTAAGATACACTGCTAATCAATTGTTACACTAATTAAATAAAAAAAAAAAGGGAGGGGGAAGCTTTTTAAAATTTACCTCTGACTTCTGTACACTCCTGTCCTCTCATCAAGCTTTTCTCCACATTCAGAAACGAATGAAGAAAGAAGAGCTCAGGGCTTTTTTTTTTTTTTTCCTTTGCAGTTGGGGAAGCTGTTATCAATTCATAAAGACTTTTTCTTGTTGCAAACCAGCTTCCCGCAGAGGAGTTTAAAAGGAGGCTTTCTAGACAACCAGCATGCTCCCAAAATGATGGGAATTGCTTGTCTCCAGCAACTGATAGTTTTATGCTGATTTAATGAGTTGGAGATTTGGCACCCATTTTCACTGAAGATTTAATTTGTGGTGGAAAACAAATCCTTCAGCTGCCAGCAAGAATCCCAGGCCAGATCCTGAGGCGCTCTTTAATTGAGTGAATTACACTATTAACTTCCAAAAAGCTTCATTTCAACAAGCGGGAACTGCTCAGAGCAG